CGTCTAACCATGCATCATTTGTGTATTCTGATGTAACAATATTAATAAAACAGATGTGCACTAACGTTTCGTCTAAGTGTGTTAAGTGTAGTTAATGTTCATAAATGCCAAGACATTATTAGCACACAAACATTGAAAATAGAGAACGTGGGGAAAGGAGTTGAGGCAATGTGTCTGACCTTACCTACCAAAACGAAACCATTTAATCTCTCATTCCCCTGACCTATAAATAGTCTTTCGAAACTATTTTCCCTCCGTTTTGAAAAATTTCTTTTGTTCATCTTCTTCTACCTCCAACTTTTCTTTGTAAACCCTTCTTAAACACCTCAAGGACACAAAAATGGCATCCAAAGTAGCACCCTCTAGACGAAAGGTACTAATGGAAGAGTACCCACTTGACGTCTTCCTCTCTAGGAAGATCGTAGCTATAGCTGATTTACAGGTCGATGGCTATCCCGTCCAACACTTCCTATATCTTATCAATTGGAAAGACTACACATTACTAAAGGTGGACTGGTTCCATGCAACCTATGCTCACTTTTGGGCATCCACTATACATGAGACAAACGCAATTATTAGGCTCATTCAAGAAACTATGGTCAGGATCTATCCCCTGGTCATTGCGTTTATCACCAAGCTAACAAAGGAACCAGAGAGATATGATGAAGATTGGGAGGTCACTCTCACTCCAACAACAATAGGTTTGGTTCACCTAAGAATAGGTTTGGCTCACCTATCATGGGCATGCTCATGAATAAGTATGATCGTGCTATCAAAATAAAGTCTCGAACAACTTTGGGACTTATCTTACAGGCGCAAAATCTAAACTCAATTCTTTGTCCTTGCCTCAAAATGCCACTCTACTCCTTTATTAAGATTCCAACAACATCATAGCACAAAACCAACCATCAATTACACATAATTATAAAAAAAAATCATTAAAAGCCCCAATTCAAGCATATATGAAGCCTGACTCATTCAACCTTGACAAAAAAAATAATCCCACACAATAGATATTACCAACACTCTTTTTGGGTGTTCATAAGGCCTCTAGTCTTCAAAGAGTGATTCGTAGATTTGGTTCTCATCCTCCTTGCTCTTCTACTAAGTGCTCCTCTATAGTTCTCTAAAGTGTCAAAAACACCCAAACTCGAAAACCAACTTATGAGCCAACCCCTTTTTTCACTCTTGGTTCTAATAAGTTAGGCTCTCATTTGGACCTCTAAAACCCAAACCCTTCATTTAATCCACCAAACCAACACACTCAACTCATTTATGTTTACTTTATTTTCTAAATACTACTTTATTTATATTATAAGTCTACTTAATAAATTGATTAAGCCTATAAAATAAATATCAATTAAACAACTTTATTATTAATTTTTCTAAATAAAGGATGTTACAAGTGTGGCTTAAAGTTCTTAGGAAATTCTTTCACTCTTAAAAAGCTTAAAACCAAGAGAATTTTGAAGCTAGAATTTACTCCTTTGGAGAATAGTTTTCACAATGCTGAAGGGTTTGATATCTGGTTGGAGAATTACATTTACCAAAATCCCATTTCTCTCAATATTTTCTACGAAAAGTTGACAAATGAATTCTTGCATGAAAAAAGAGGCAAAAAGAAAGGTAAAGTTTCACAACCTTACAAAATAATGCGATACAAAATTTTCACCAAGAATGTTGCACCCCATCAAACATTTGATCATTAGTTAGGTTACGACTAATCCTTTTAAGGTACAAGATTGAGAACCATCAAGTGACTCAAAAAGTGATAAATCCTAAAGGTAAAACCATTTTCAAAAAGTATTGCTTTGAAAGTATTTACATTTGCTTCCTTAGGCCCTCTTTAGACTTCCCTATGCATTGTCGTAAGCAAAACTAGAACGATTGTTGCTTATTTCAACAAAACAAACAAACCTCCAAAAAAATATCCTTTTTCCTGGAAAATCTTCATTCCTAGTTATAACAATTTTATCAGATTCAAACACTATTTTTAAACTTGTTTTATTGTGTAAAGCCCTAGACACTAAATTCCTATGCATTTTAGGAACATATAAGCCATTGTTCAAGGCCAAGGTTATAGTAGAAGTGAGTTTGCAAAGAATTTTTCCTATACCCACGCACTCTAGCAATAGCAAAGTTTCCCTCGTAGATAGTTATTTCTTTAGCATTTTCCTTAAACTCTTGAAAAACCTCTTGCTTGCAAAAATGTGTCTTGCAGCTCTTATGTTCAATATCCAATGAGTTGCATTATTGACCAGATTTGCTTCTACCATTGCAACAATGACTTCTTCATCTTCAATCAAGTTTGCTTGAGGTTTTGGCTTCTATTAATGAACAACAATTTGTCCTTTGTTATTATTATTTACTCTTTTTTGTGAAAATGACATTGATATGATATGTGTTCATTTTTCCCATACACAAAAGAAGTTGTATTATTTTTTTGGGACCTTACCATTGTACTAGTTGAATTGTTTCTTGTCTTTATTTTGTGTATTTTGTTATTGTATTTTTTTTTTGAAAATTTTCCTAACTAAAGTACCAATAGATTCAACAAGACTAGCATTAGAAAAATTAAGAGAGGTAGACAAACATATCCTTAATACAATTTGCTTCTTCTGTCCTCATGTAGCTACTAATGAGTTCTTTTAGTGTGAAGTCTTTTTCTTGTGTTTTAGATGATTTTTGAACTCATTCTAAGAAGGGAAATTTTTTTGAGATAGACGTTTACTTCTAGCATATCACATTTTCATACCTTCATTTAAAACATCAACAACCTAGTTCTCATATTCGTGCACTTGCTCCATTATTGGTTTATCATCAACCATTTGGAATTGTAACCATTTTCTAGTAACGTACTTATGATATTTCTTTTCGTGTATTCTAAATAAATTTTACAGATTTGTTTGACATAGAGATTAAAAAGATTGTTAGGCATATGATTAAGGAGATGACTACATACTAATTTCTTATACTTTTTATGATTCTCAAATATCTTAATTGTGGCTTTCATATGTTAATCACTTCATTCATGTGGAATGGTCGTTGCATCTTTGAATAGAATGTAGTAAACTTCAATTTTCTCGAAGAAGATGAACAACCTTTGTGACCATTGTTTGTAGTTTGTTCCATCAAATGATTCAAACTTTGACATATTAGGCAAAAGTTTATTGAGCAGCAAAGTCATTGTAAAAAAAATGCTTTTAGATTGTAAGAAAGATAGGAGAATAAAAGTTGTGTTGTGGCAAGGCAAGAACCACTGCTTCGAAAGTAATTTTCGATGGACTTTCTATACAATTCAATAATCGATTTTTCTTTTGCTCTCCGAAGTCTACATAATGACATGTTTAAACTTGTGCACTCGAGTTCAAACACATTAAAGAACTACAAACAATGCCAACAAAAAAGTTACTAAGAAATGAAGAGAAACCATAAGTATAGAAAAGAATTATTCATATGTAGCTTGTAACCTTTATATAGTGCAAAAATTGATAAAACTGTTGAAAATCTATTAAAAATTACTTTCAATATTAAAATAAAATCAAGTATTTTAATGGAACTTGAAGCCTTGTACCTGTGCAAGGTATGCTTCTGCCAACGGTGCCAACAATTAAAACACCAATGGGAAAAAGCCAACAGGAAAAGAGAATTAAATGACTTCCAACGGAATCGAAAACTAAAATGTCATTATCCTTATATTTATTGCAACAGAGGTTCACCTTCCAGATTTTCTTGATGACACACCTCCCTTTCAGTTGTACTACAAAATAAAACATGTTAGGATCTTGATGAGAATTCGTCATGGTATGAATTTTCGAATCCAAAGTTGTTTTCGAATAGAGTTTTTATTCTTATATAACTGAATATATTTTACTTGTAACTTTTAGTATCTATAAGCAAGCCAGTGCCTGTTTATGAAGAAAAATGGGATGATGATGACTCCTAATTGAAAAAAGTTACAAGGAAAAGGAAAATCCCTTCTAAGGACCAGTCATTTCATCGAGCACCACCAAGAAGGAAATGATCTCGATAATTTTTATTTTAACTTATGATTTTCATTTTGAAGTGTCTTAATATTTATTTTGAAATTATACCAGACTGCTTCAAAGTATGTTGCTGTTTCGAAGGCAGCCAAACCGACAGCCAAATCGTCGAATGGAAAATAGAAAACCTCTAAGTAATTTTTTCTTTTCCATCAAAGTTTCATCCTTCTTTCCTTAAATAGCTTCATTAATATTTTTGTATTTTCTTTACAAATCCAATTGCTGAGACCTCGAAAGAGGTGGAGGAAGAAAAAGATGATAAAGATGAGAGACCTTAACATGTTAATTTTGCCTTCAATATTAAGTCTTTAGAACCATGCTTCAAGAGAAACTTCGAAACAATAGTCACACTTGACTTGGTGAATTTATCTTCCATATTCATAACATGCAACTTCAATAATCTTTTCGAAAAGGTTGAGCTTCTTAACAGAGATTTTTCAATATTCATATACTTCATCCATCAGGTTTTCCATTTTAAACATTATACAAAGCCTACTTTCAAGAGACTCAACATACTGTAGACGATAGGCGAATATTAAATTTAAAAGATTATAACGGAATCTTAAATCGAATTTTTTGTTCCATTGTTCACGAATATACCAGTCTATAGACATCACGGTAGTACATAAACCCGGATTTCAATGGCAATCCATAATTCTTAACTGATTAGCGTTATCTCATTTTTATCATTTTTAGTGGTCCAAATTATACCTATATTTTTTCTGCAATATTTATTTGCAAAATACAAGTCAATGATCATAGCACAAAGCCAGCATAATATTTTATTGGCATTATCTGATTATATTCCACAATAGAAAAGGTGTACTTCAAGAATAAATGAACAGCTTTTCCATTGTGGAATATTAAAAATTTGCGAGCATCTAACTCACAACAACAAATTATACCTGCGACACAAAATATAGCGTACAATTAATCTTATTCAATAGAAGATTTATGCCAAACATCTGGTCATGGTCATAGGTATATTATCAAGTACAAAACTCTGATACAAAACCAAAATCCATTCATTCCAAGCAATTGATATCAATTAAAAGCGAGAGGAAATTTACATACATCGAATCTCAACTTAAAATATAACGAATAGAAGCATCAACGGAATTATACAATCACGTGACGGGGAGACAAGTCGAGCACATCGCATAGATGCAGTAACTATTTGTGATCTTACACTATTAATTAACAAAAGGTGGGGTTTGACCCACAACATTTGAATCAGGAACAACCAAAACATCTACTTACAGAGAAAAAACTAGATGGCTGAGGCTCTGCATCAGGCTCTGATTTTTTTTGAGGAAGCTGCTTAAAAAATGCTTTTACAGCTCCTGTCACTCCATCCTCATTTTCCATTGCCTTAGCAAGTTCAACTGCACGTTCCTTTACCTGGAATTATATTAAGAAAATGTAAATATATTTGCAAATAATGCACCCAACAAAAGCTAAGAATTCCACCAAATTGCTTTCGTCGCATAACACCCAAAAAATTGATGAGTTTCCCTTGTCCGGGGACTATCTTTTAACAACATGAAGAGTTGATATATGTACCTCTCCATCATCCCTTCCGACAAATATAAAACAATTCAAAGTTAATATCTCTAAAAAATAAGTTATGCATGAAACTGAGTTTGACAAACTCATCATTGATGAGAAACACAACCCCATTGGATCTATTAGCATCGATTTCAGGCGCTGTTATGTGTGGTTCACGGTGGATCAGTGCTACAGTCCCATAATATAGTAAGAACTAGTATTTTAGTCTGTATAATGTATAAGCTAAATATTTATTATATATAATTAAATTTATAATAAGCCTTATACAAATAAATATTATGTTTGAATATATAAATTATATTTAAAATTTTTATAAGCAAATATTTAAAACATATAAATTATACTTTAGATTTATTATAATAATTTATATTATAGTATAATATTATTTTTATTTATTGATAATTTATTTAAATATATTAAAATTTAATTTATAAATAATTATGATAAATAAAAATTGAATTAAATAAGTTAAAAAAAGCCCTTAGAAACCCTCTCAAATAAGAAAAGGTCCTATAAATGCTCTTACATAAGATAGAAATTTGTGTTAAATGTATAGGAGTTGATTTAATATTATTTGAAGTTGTTACAGTATTGTCATACAGTAAAAATAATAATATTTTTAATATAATAATTAAATTATTTTAAAATATAAATAGTAAAAAATTATAATTATAATTATTATTTTATTTAAAATATAAAACAGTATTGTTATAGTGGACAAATATTATTTTAATAAGTTAATTAAATTTTATTAAAATTATAATATAATAAATAAATCACTAAATTAATTAAATTTTATTTAAAAATTCAAAAATATAGATAAATTGTTACAGTAGATATTTACTATTTATATAATATTTAATATCTTATTAATTTAAGTGTGAATATAAGATAATACATGGTTAATTTTACGTATTTTGATTTGACAGAGTAGAGTGATGAAGTTATATGGGTAGAGGAAGGTGGAGTCCAGTAGGGAGAAATTCAAACTTCATCAATGAGTCAGACACGTAAATCTCAAAAGGAGAAAGGGTTATGAATCACTTGAGAAAGAGACTACTAAGAATTTGGAGGTTTTGAGAAGAATGGGTAGAATGTTGGTAGACGGTGGATAACACCGTAACAATAGCAGCAAAAGTTGAGTTTCATGCATGTTGGCCAAGGCTCCATCAAGGAGGAGGGATCTGCATGTTAGTTTTGGTTTAGAAAAGGAAAAATGGATATGAGAAACGAAGGAAAGTAAAGGCAAGATTGTAACTGGTCAATGGATTTTAAAGAAAGCATATAGCAAATGGAATGGGCAAATTCTTTTTCCTAATTTAATGAGTCAGGCTGATGAGACCCTTGAATCCAATAATTCCAAGCATAAGGAAATATTACTGGCTCAGCAGGTGAATCATGAAACTAAGGGATTAAAAGTGAACACTAGGAGGGGAAAGGTAGAACGTGTGGCAAAGGATCCAGGGATAGTTAGTTATGATTAGTGGGCTAGGTGTGGGGGGACAGGATGGTTACAAGAGAGAGGTTTCTGTAATACAGAGGGAGAGGAGTCAAGGAAAGGGAAATCAGTGATTTAGAATTCAGCTTTAGGCTTGGGCAAGGAACAGTGGATTCCTTGACTATTTCCTGTTAATTCCTTTTATGTTTTCGATGCTTGGGTATCTCATTTCATCCTATAGTGAGGTTAATACACTGTATTTCATTTCATTCTGAAGATTGCAGATTGTTGTTATTACTATTTGGTGGTTGTTTCCATCATAGGCTCAGAAGGAAATGAAAGACAGAAGTAGTCATTATTTGCAACTATTTCTCAATGCATTTCATAGTGAGTTATCGGATCTGTTGTAGAAGCATTGATACTGTTTCGTAGCTAAAAATATTGAAGAAAACATAGTAATGGAGAAGAATAGAGCTATTCAGTTGCTTGTGTTTGTCACAGGAGGGGTTCATATTATATTTGGGCTGTTGTAATGGTGGGGTTTGGCTAGGTCATCTTGCTTCAAACAACCAAAACACAAACCCTGTAGTGGTACAAGGTAGAGTTATCCGATATTTAATATGATATCACGTTTCTATCACAACTTCTACTTTTGACTAAACCACTTAAATCTAGAGAAACTAACGCAACCACCCTAGATCAATTGTTTGAAACCTTCGATGGTGTTAGGAAGCCAGAAACAAATCAATGAATGTAAAAGTATTAGAAGAGAGGATTGAAAATGATAAAGAGAGAGATGATGAAATATGTATTATTTGCTGAATCGAAAACCGTTACTCAGAATTGAATAAATCTCTCCCTAGAGCAAAGCTCCTCTCAGAGTGCACAAATGCCTCTATCACAAAACCACCCAAAAGATTCCCCCCTCTCTCCTCAACAATTCCTATATAACAGAATTATGCTCACACACCAAACCTCCTATGCCAGCTGGCTACTATTGATTGCTCCTCTCTTTTTCTTTCTCTTGTATACTTTCCAAATTAGAGGCTTAGGATGATTATTGCACAAAAATACATTTGGGCCTTGTCCCTAAATTAAGGGCCTATCATACTCTTCTCCCTAAAAACCAAGCTTGTCCTCAAGCTTGAAGTTAGGGAATTGGCTACGGATGTTGTACGCCTCCTCCCAAGTAGCCTTTTCAGTTGGTTTTCCCTTCCATTGGATTAGTAATTGAGGGGCTGATACTCCTTTCTTAGTGACAACTTGAGATGCTAATACAGCAGTAGGCTCCAAAGAGGAATTGAGATCGCCTTCCAAATCAGTTGGCAAATTATCATCTACTGAGTAATTTCCCACGACCTTCTTGAGGAGGGAAACATGAAAAACTGGATGAATGCGAGACCCTTCAGGTAATTGAAGTCGATAAGCAACCTTCCCAATTCCTTCCAAGATGATAAAAGGACCATAATAACGGGGGATAACTTTAGGCAGATTTTTGCACCCACAGATTGCTGACCATGCCTGAGTTTCAAAAACACCTTGTCACCTATGTCATACTTCCGATCTGCTTTCTTCTTATCGGCCTGCGACTTCATAGAAATTTGGGCCTGGCTCAAATGTATCTTGAGTTGCTTGAGTGCCTCATCTCTATCCTTAAGCTCTTGCCCGACTGATTCCACTTTAATTTTACCTGGTAAGAACCTAGTTACCACTGGAGGAGACTGCCCATATACCACCTCAAAAGGAGTGCTTCCCGTAGAGGCATGAAATGTAGTATTGTACCAAAATTCTACCCAAGGTAACAAATAGCCTAGGATTTAGGTTGGTCAGCAATAAAACATCATAGGTATGTCTCAAGGCATCTGTTTACAACCTTAGTTTGTCTGTGGGTTTGAGGATGATAAGCGGCACTCATTTTGAGTTGTGTCCCTTGCATCTTAAACAACTCTTTCCAAAAGTTACAAACAAAAACAGGATCTGTCACTTAGAATATAAGCAGGAATCCCGTGTAGCTTCACGACCTCTTTAGTGAAAACTTCAGCCACAATTTTAGCAGAATAAGGATGTTTCAAAGGGATGAAATGACTATATTTTGACAATCGATCCACCACCACTAAAATGGCATGAAACCCCTTAGATGTGGGCAGCCCCGTGATCAAATCCAAAGATATTCCGTCCCAAATCTGTTCGGGAATTGGCAATGATTGTAGCAAGCCAGTCGGAGATATAGCTAAATATTTCTGGCATTGGCACGTATCACATTCCTGCACAAAATTCTGAATCGAACGTTTCATACCGAACCAAAATAGGTTGGCTGCCACCCTCCTATAAGTTCGATAAAAACCAGAGTGACCACCCTGTGGAGTAGCATGAAATTCATTTAGCAAGGTGGGAATCCAAGCAGATTAGAATAAAACCCCTTTTGTGTAAGTGAATGCTGGCTTGGCATGTTGCTGGTTTTGCAACGCAGAAATAATTTTTATCAAATGGACATGTTTATGCACCTCATCAATCAACTCTTTGCTCCCTAACCAACTAGGTGTATGAATCATAGAATTTAGTTCAGAATCCCCAAACATACAAGATAAAGCATCAGCACCCTTGTTCTCTTGACCGGGCTTGTACTCGATGTCAAATTGATAACCAAGGAGCTTGGCAACCCAATTTTGTTGACTGCCAGTTATGATACGCTGTTGCATTAATTGCTTGAGACTTTTCTGGTCTATTCTTACAATAAACCTACAACCAAGAAGATATGGATGCCAATGTTGTATAGCCAAAGCCACAGCCATAAGCTCCTTTTCATAGGTAGATTTAGTTAGACTCCGCTCCCCAAGAGCCTTGCTGAAATATGTTATAGGGAAGCCTGCCTGCATCAAAATCGCTCCCACACCCAACCCAGAGGCATCACTTTCAATGATAAATTCTTTAGAAAAGTCGGGTAAAGCCAAGACTGGTCCTGTTGTCATCTTATCTTTGAGTAACTCAAATGCCTTTTGTGCTTCACTTGACCAAAAGAAACCATTCTTCTTGGTAAGAACTGTCAATGGCTTAGAAATCTTCCCATAATCTCGTATGAATTTTCGATAATAGCCGGTTAATCCAAGGAAACCACGAACTCCCTTCACATTAGTAGGAACTGGCCATTCTAAAACACTTTGAAGCTTCCAAGGATCCATTGCTACCCCTTCCTAAGTGATTAAATGACCCAAATAATCAATTGAAGTTTGAGCAAAAGAACATTTCTTATTCGCAACTATATGTTCTTCTTGAAACCGCTGCAGCACCTCAGTCACATGCCTCATATGAGAATCCCAATTCGGACTATAAATCAGAATGTTATCAAAGAACACTAATACAAACTTATGCATCATATCCTTGAAAATTGAATTCATGAGGGCTTGGAATGTTGAGGGAGCATTCATCAAACCAAATGGCATCACTAAATATTCATAATGGCCCTCATGAGTCCTAAAGGTTGTTTATGCACATCTTTCTCCCTTACCCTGACTTGGTTAAAGCCAGATTTTAGATCCAATTTGGGGAAATACTTCGCACCATGTAGTTCATCCAATAATTCATCAATGACTGGAATGGGGAATTTGTTAGGAATGGTGACCTTATTCAAGGCACGATAATCAACACACATCCTCCACGAAGCATCTTTTTTCTTTACCAATATAACTGGACTAGAAAATGTGCTTTGACTTGGCCTGACCATTCCAGCTTGCAACAATTCCTTCACCTGTCTCTCGATTTCGTTCTTGTGGTGGTGAGGATAGCAATACAGTCTCACGTTAACCGAACCTGCTCCATGCAATAACACAATAGCATGTTCCTCCTTTCTTTTCAAAGGCAACCTTCTAGGTTCTCGAAATACCTCATCATACAAAGTCAACAACTCCTATAATTCCCCATATTTCCTCATATTCCCTCCTGAAGGAGACAAACTTAGCTCTACATAGAAAAGTATCCCCTCGATAAATTGCAACGATTTGTTCAAAAAACTCTGTAATGCCACATGTTATTGTTCTTCATTGCCAATTCCTTTCAACTCAACCCATTCTTCGTGAAGATGCACTAACATGAGTTGTTTCTCCCAATCTACCCACATTCCTCCAAGGGAAGCCAGCCAAGACATACCTAACACCACATCTATTCCTTCCAAATCAAATGGAATAGCATCTAAATTCACCTTATACCTTCCCAACTCAAGCTCCATGCCCACACATTTTACTTGGGTCTTTGCCCTGTGACCATCCCCCAATTTGATCTTCAAAGGTTAGCTTTCGACGATTGACCATCCCATCTTCTCAGCAAGCCTCCTGGACATAAAATTGTGAATTGCTCCACTATCAACCAAAAGGAGAATGGGTACTCCTTTCACCGTTCCTTGAAGCTTTAGCGTGTGAGGTTGGGTGGATTTCATCTCTTCCAAACTTTGAAGGTGCATAACACCTCCTTCTTTCTCACTTGTTTCCGTTTCGTGAGCTTCACTTGACCCCTTGTCATCCTTGGTCAACATTATACGTAGCTGTTTATCTGGACAGAGGTGTTTTGGGTGGAAGAGGCCTCCACACTTAAAGCATAATCCCTTTTGTCTCCTCTCGACCATTTGTTGATACGACAAATGGCATATCCCTCTATCTCTGCCCATACTCCCTTCATTCTCAAACTTGGGCTCATATTTGGATAATTGGCCGTTTACATTTTTGTCATGGCTCTCTTTCCCCCCTTTTACAT